AGGAGTGTGCCAGGAAGAAATTATGAGAGTGGTAGGTTGGGACTCGGGAGGGACTCCCATAGGATAAGGGGGCCTCTACCACGTGGCTGAGTGCAGAAGGTGACTCTCACCTGTCCATAATCCAGCCTCTACAACAACCTGGACTTAATATATATAAAATAAAAAAAAGGAAATATGTAACTGATCCTGACAAGGTATCACTTTGCGTGGTTGGTGTGGCTGGCTGCCTGAAAAGGGTGGGTAGGTGGTACAGGGCGTCATGGAGGGAGAGGATAGGAGGTGGGGAGGAAAGGGGAGGGGCTAAAGGGGCTGGGGGTTTGATGAGGATGGGGAAGAAGGGTGAGAGAAGGGCTGCTATGGTGTATGTGAGAGGAGCATTGAGGGTAGATAGGTTGAGTATACACGGTACAGTCTTCTACCAGCGGACCCATACTGTCATCCTTCAGTGGTGTAAAGAAGTGCTCCACTGATCAAATATCTTCTGTCATTCAGTTGCCACCCAGTTTTTCCATACCAATTTTCCTGTTTCTTGTAGTTGTGCATTCGCATCTATATGCTACAGGTCGACGGATGAAATTCATCAGTCCGTTTTTTTTTTTTTTTTTTAAAGAAAAAACAACCCGAACTAATGCTAGGGGTGCTGATAAAAGCAGACACCACCTTACAAAAAGTGTAGCTCCGACGAGCAGCATTATCAGTTCCGGTTTCCAGCATGTGTAGCTCCCCACGAATAGATTGGAGCCATCTGAAGATTCCACTAGCTGATGTTAAATAAATTAAAAAAAAAAAAAAAAAAAAAAGCCGACACCACTAGCACTGTCGGCGAGGCTCCATCTATTGGTGGAAAGCAACATCCTTCCTGAAAAATTGGCTTTCGTATTTTTTTGAAAAATACACTCTCGAATTAATTTCAAATAAATTCAAATTAATTTATTCAAAATTAATTCTTGCTCTGCGATTCTCTGCTACCTTCATTGCTGAATCACTTGACGGCGTTCTATTCTTGTAAATAGGAATTGTTCCCCCCATCTCCACATGCCATCACGCCAAACCAAGACCTCCCAACGCGTCGCCGTCGACGCCGCTGCCGCTGCCGTGGCCACCTATGCCGCTGCCGCTGCCGCTGCCGCGGCCACCTATGCCGCTATCACATCCGCTGCTACCGCCTCCACTTCTGCTCCGGCCACATCATCCACCCCCTCTTCCCCCACCATGGCCCAATCTTCCATCAACATCTCTGATCTTTGTTCCGACTCCGTCAACAACATTGCCCGCGAACTCGCAGGCGATCAGCCAACTTCGACCACCACCCCGGAACTCGCACCTATCCTCCAGAGTCCAAACGTTGACCGCCCTCAGATCCTCCCTCACCAACATCAACACCACCATGTCCGCCATCTCCGATCGTTTCACCACTCTTGAGGGAAACTCCCCCGGCATCACGGTTGTCACCACGACCACACCCCCCTCCTCCACACCCCAACCCACCCCCTCCTCCGGACAAGCCTCCGCTTCAACCTCCACACCAACACCGTCCACCTGTACACCCCCACCCTCATCCACCACTACCTCCACCATGGTCGCTCCACCTCCCCCCTCGCCCAAGACGACAACCCCTGCCGTCACACAGTCATCAACCGTCCCCCACCAATCAAAACCGCTCTTATCCACCTCCACTATTACCTCAACCATCCCCAACTATACCCAGATCATTCCACAAGTTGTGTATCCCGCTCCTCCACTACTTCCCCCAAATGCTCTCATCCCCACCAACCCCGCCAATTATTTCACCTTGTTCGACCTCTCCCACCCTTGATTTCAATACCCTTGCCACCATTAACCCCAGAGAAGGCAAAATCCCCCCATCATTCCGTGTCAACGAAATCCCCACCTTCTCG